ACATTTTAATCCTTTATATCTTTTTCATTTGTTAAGATATTTGTGTATTGCTCTACATCCAGTGTGTCTTAAGCAACGTGATACTGCTAATAATAATAACATTAAACAAATTGTCATGAATAAACTAACAATGAGCGCACAAAGCGGCAACAATGGATTTGGATGCAAACAAGGTGCAAAACGTGAAAATTAGGGTTGCGCTTGTCTGAAAATAGCAACAAATCCCACCAAACATGTCTTGTGCCGGGTGTATGATAGAGCCCAGAGTTTTCAAAAGCAAACTAGAAGAAAAACACCATTGTGACTGCACAATTCTACAGCGTCCTGACACTAAATTTTTTAGGATTTGTTTAACCTGGTTTATGGAATCCAAAAACTCAAACTCCGCTCCGCTCCCACGTCTGGAGCTATTCTCAGTGAGCTACCGTGCAAACCACGCACGCCAGAAAAGCCATTGATATAGAGATAAGCAGTCAGCGGTACTGCCCCATAGTGTTCAATTACATATAAAATGCAGCCATATGTACACACGAGTACATATTTCTTGGTTCTCAAAAATGTACACCAGTGAACATTTTCCTAATCAGCCTGTGCTTGTATTTTTAGGGGTAATGTACAGCAATGTTAACGTGAGAACAGCAGGTGCAAATGGCACTCGCGAGAGATCTGAAAAAGCATACACAGCGGCCTCTGGTGGATTAGCGAAAACGAAAACTGCAAAAAAAAAGTAGTACAATAGTGTGGTTGTCAATGGAAGCATCCAATCAACAAATCACATGCCAGCAACTCAACGCATTTAGGCATGAAAATATGTTCAAAATGAAGAGCTGAATTTAAAACAAAAAGCTTTGGAATGAGGGGAAATGATGTGTGAAGTGATTTTTGATGTTGCCTATTTGTTGATGCCAGATAAGGTGTTAAAAAATGACTGTTGAATCTTTTCTGGGTGAAAAATGCCTCAAGCCAGAGGTCAGAGATGAATGGTTAGACTGACAGAAAGCCAACGATAACTCGAATAACCACTTGTTATTTCTCAGCAGGGGTGGACTTAAATTAGGGGCCCTAAACAATTTCAGGCATGGGACCCTAGCATTGAAACTCAAAACACTTTATAGTTATTTTTTCTAATGTAGATTCATTTTTTTTTGTTATTTTTGTTTTTTGTTAATAAACTGCATGTTAAAAATATATTTCAAGTGGAACCTTTATCTTAATGTACAATTAAATTAAAATTAACTAAAGTTCCACTATTCACAGGGTCCCAGGTATTGAAAAGAAATAATACCAATAAAACCTTAATGATTATAGACAGATTTACAACGTTGGGGAGTGACACAAATAACTAAGGTTTGGATCCAAATGCAGGTTTAATCAGTAGTCAGGCAAGCAAAGGTCAATTCAGGTGCAAACAGATATATGCAGACAATCCAGAATCGTAGTCGAATAACAGGCAAGGAGGTCAGAAGGCAGGCAGCAAACAAGGACAAAGGGATAAGCTAGGCTAAGGTCAAAACATGGAGAAACAAGACAAGGAAACCGCGTTGTAGTGTTACTATTACAGTTAACAAGACTCGGCAATGGAAGTGAGTGAGTGTGCTGCTTAAATAGTGTGTGCAATCAGTCTCTGACAATCCTCAGGTGGTGCGAGTAATCAGTCTAGATGAGGAAGCATGTGTGAGTGTGACCGGAGTGCATGTATGAAAATGTAGTCCAGAAATGGCGGATTTGTAGTCCATGGTTATAGAGAGTGAAATCCAGCAATCTTATGGAGTACGATCGCTGGTTATCATGACAACATGACGGTAAATTTATCAAATATGATTCAAATAGGCTTCTTGGCATTGGTCGGAGCCCCCTAATTCCTTGGGGCCCTAAGCAGCTGCTTACCTTGCTTATTGGTTAAGTCTGCCCCTGTTTCTCAGATATGCTTTTCTAAGTATTGTTGCTGAACATATCCATCTCTTCATTACCACAGAGCGTTGGTCTGGTGATGGCTTGCCTTATAGCATAGCGAATAAAAAAAATGGTTTCTTTAACATGACAGCGAGTTCACCATACACTGTAAAAAATATCCCGTTTTGTATTTTGTGATTCGCAAGTGTTTTCTATTTATTTACGGCTGTAAATTGCATTATGGGACATTGATCTCCGCTCTGTCGATTTTTGGTGTTGAAAATTCAAATTGATTTAACAAAGTGGCTTTTATTGACATTTTAGTCCTTTGAAATAATATAATGTGTAAGACATAATATCTTGAGAAATAAGTCTGTAAAATAACAGAAAATGTCCTGGCAGTTTATTACAAGGTTTTTGTATCGTAATATACCACACCAACCCAGACAATATATCACTTTAAACTATTACAAATGTCAATAAAAGTCACTTTTTTTAACTTTTCAAAGTTAAAAGTTGTTGGAAGAAACATCAAGGTCCCCTAATGCAATTCATAATCATAAATGAACGGAGGCAAATAAAAAATAAAATGTAAGTGTATTTTTTACAGTGTAGCCTCTGCAATTACTGGGTTTAAATCCAAAAGAGCACATTTGGTATCTGGTGAAAGGGAGATTCACAGGCTACAGAATATGTAAGATGCTATCATATCAACATGGACTGAAATCTCTAGTTTCCAGCATCTTGCTGATGCTATGCTAAGAAGTGTTTCTATAATGAAACAGCACGATTAAAGATGGTTCACTATACTATTGTGAAGCATATTTGTTATGTATATATTATAGTATTTGCTTACACATGGTTAATGAATGCTAACTGTAATGTTACTAATGGGTTGGTAAACTGTATTAAATTCTGTAGTATACTTTAGTTTTTACTACAGTAAACTGTGGTGTACAATATACTCTACAGTAGTAGAAAACTGTACATTTATTAACGTTTAATCATTCATTTCCCTTCAGCTTAGTCCCTTTATTTATCAGGGGTCACCATATCAGAATGAACCACCAACCTATCCAGCATATGTTTTACACACGCTTTTCCAGCTGCAACCCAGTACTGGGAAACACCCATTCACATTTACATACATCTTAAAGGAGCTAATAATTTTGTCCTTAAAATGGTGTTTAAAAAAATTAAAACTGCTTTTATGCTTGTCCAAATAAAAAAAATAAGACTTTCTCCAGAAGAAAAAATTATTATAAAATATACTGTGAAAATTTCCTTGGCCTGTTAAACATAATTTGGGAAATATTTCAAATATTTGAACAATTCAAAAGGGGGCTAATAATGCTGACTGTAACTGTATGTAAGGATGAAAGGGCTAAATCTGCATTTATTCCAAAACTGCATTTATATATTGTATTTCAGATGAAAAGTGATAGTCTATTTAACAGTTTGCAGTTTTCTCATGAAGATTTGCCTTGGAACGCTTGGTGGGGCTCTGTCTGTTTTGGCAGCTTCTATGTGTTACATAGACTTACAAAAGTGGATTTGCCTTGGCTTTTGAGGGAATGACTACTATAGCTGAAATTGGATTTCTTCCTGTCTTGACAGAAGACACATTTCTAATGGCTGCTTTCTTCACAGACTATGATTCAACTGAGTGAGAGATTTAAGTACGTTCATTGGTTGGCTGGAATGGACTGGAATTTTCATTGTGATCAAAAATAAACTCTATAGTTTCCCATGCAGGATACAGTATGTGCTGAAAGATTTATATAAATATCAGAATATCAGAATACCAACACTGTGTGTGTGTGTGTGTGTGTATACATATATATATATATATATATATATATATATATATATATATATATATATATATATATATATATATATATTCATTCATTTATTTTCTTGTCGGCTTAGTCCCTTTATTAATCCGAGGTCGCCACAGCGGAATGAACCGCCAACTTATCCAGCGAGTTTTTATGCAGCGGATGCCCTTCCAGCCGCAACCCATCTCTGGGAAACATCCACCACACACACATTCACACACACAATCATACACTACGGACAATTTAGCCTACCCAATTCACCTGTACCGCATGTCTTTGGACTGTGGGGGAAACCGAAGCACCCGAAGGAAACCTACGCGAACGCAGGGAGAACATGCAAACTCCACACAGAAATGCCAACTGAGCCAAGACTCGGACCAGCGACCCAGCGACCTTCTTGCTGTGAGGCGACAACACTACCAACTGCACCACTGCTTTGCCATATATATATATATATATATATATATATATATATATATATATATATATATATATATTCACACCTACTGGCCACTTTATTAGGTACACCTTATTAATCCTGGGTTGGACCCCCTTTTGCCTTCAGAACTGCCTGACATCCTCTGTGGCATAGGTTCAACAAGATAATGAGAATAATCCTCAGAGATTTTGGACCATATTGACATGATAGCAGCACACAGTTGCTGCAGATTTGTCAGCTGCAAATCCATGATGCGAATCTTCCGTTCCACCACATCACAATGGTCCTCTATTGGATTGAGATCTGGTTACTGTGAAGGCCATTATAGTACAGTGAACTCATTGTCATGCTCAAGAAACCAGTCTGAGATTATTCACGCTTTATAAAATGGTGTGTTATCCTGCTGGAAGTGGCCATCAGAAGATTGGTACACTGTGGTCATAAAGGGAAGGATATGGTCAGAAACAATACAGTATGTGGCATTGACACAAAGCTCAATTGCTTGAATGTCGAAGCAGAAATCAAGACTCAACAGACCAGGCAACATTTTTCCAATCTTCCATTGTCCAATTTTGGTGAGCCTTTGAGAATTGTAGCTGACACCATCAACTATGCTACGTTCAAAGTCACTTAAATCACCTTTCTTCCCCATTCTTTACCATGTACATGCCTAAATGCATCGAGTTGCTGCCATGTGATTGGATGATTAGAAATTTCCGTTAATGAGCATATATATATATATATATATACATATATATATATATATATATATATATATATTTTTTTTTTTTTTTTACATATATAAAAAATTTAATTATGACACTTACAATAATGCCTGAAATGTATCCTGTGATGCTGACACTTTCCGTGCGTGTACTGATGTAGATGCCCATCACAACTATTAGCAAAGACAGACTTAACATCCCAGAAACCAGCCACTGAGCTTTTCTCCTCCTTATCTTTAACACATCTGCCAGAGAAAGAAAGGAAGAGTTAACTGAAAGTGAATTTCATTTAAAAACTTATTTGAGATGTGAAATAATTACCCTGTCCTGCATTTTTCTGTGTGGTAAAAATAACTTTTTTTTTCTTCTGTTTTATATTAAGCTATTGAAATGTTTTCAGTGAGAATTAGGACATATAAGTAATCAATTTTAAAAATGACGTTTAATAATCTCAGCTTTTCAATAATTACGTTTTTTTTCTGCAATTGTGCTGAAATTCAGTGTCATTCTTGACTGTAATGCAATAAATTCATACAGAAAAAGTTGTTCTAAAAGTTATTAGTAAATGTTTTATACAATTGTCAAAAGTTATAAAAACATGTAATATTTAGTTTAAAATGCGGAATATGAAAATAATTCTTGCTATCATCATCATCATCATTGAGGTCAAATGAACTCTATTGTGAAAAAATAAGCCATTAAAAATCAGTAAGCGGTTCCCATTATCCAGTGATAAGCTTGATCATATCTTTTATGACGTCAAAAAGTCAAAAACATTTTCAGAATGACAGACAGCATTGAAGAAGTCCACAAGAAACAAAAAATACTATAGTAAATGCTAGTGGTTTTAAATCATACTAGAGTAAAACTTAAATTTTTTATGTATATTTTATAGTATTTGTAACACATTGTAATGGAAAAGTGTTAACTAATGAACTGATAAACTGTAATAAATATTCTAGTACACTTTAGTTAACTTATCTCATCTGTAATAACTGTGGTGTACAGTTTACCCTGAAGTTGTATAAAACTACAGTATTTGTTTATATTAGTTGCTGTATTACTCGGTAAAAGAATTACAGCTACAAAATGATTTAAGAAAACTATAGTATGATTTAAAACACTAAAGTATTTAAATTAGGCTACTAAAGTAAGTATTGTTATCTGGGAGTAATTAATGTCGGGTACATTAAAGTATTTAGGCTATCATTCAGTGACAAAACGAGTCAGATTTTTGACAAAATATTTTCGATTAATTATTACTTTAATATAACATGGGAGCCACAAAACCAATACAAATCCTCTAATTAGAAACATTTATTTAAGCTGAAGTGTTTGTTTTCTTACCTGCGACAGTGTGTGGTGGAGCAGCATCGCGCCGTGTCGTTTCCTGTGAGTTTGTCATCTGTCCTCCTCGTTATAAATGTTTATAATCCACACGGAATCCCTCACTGCTATTGACCGGACTCTGCACGCCGCCGAGACTGCGGGAGCTTTTATACACGTGCCCGCGCCCACCGGGGAATTTAAGGTCGTAAAATTAGAGCCTGAGCAAAGTGGACGAGCTCAGCTGCATCTCTCCTTAGTGATGTTGTTCTTAGTTTTACTTTCGGAGGAAACTTCTGTTCCATTTGATGCGGTATATTTAATATGGCTAATTTGAGTGTAACAATATCATATATATATATATATATATATATATATATATATATATATATATATATATATATATATATATATATATATATATTTTAGTATAATGTTATGTATGTATACACACACGCACACACACACAGGTTAGATTTTCATTTCATTTGGTGGTTAATTGTCACACATTTACATTATAGGATGTTTATATTATACATTTTTTATTTTCTAAACGGGTTAACGAGAAAAAGCTATAAAACAGCCCAGGCTCATGACTCATGACACTCATGACAACAAAAGTGGGGGATGTCACAATTTTAAAGACAAGTTGTCACAAAGGAGTCACAAAGGAGTATGATCCTCTGTTTAAAAAAAAAAAAACACGTTCTGAAAGAGATAAAGCCTCAGGCAGGTATAAAAAAGTAACTCAAAAGTAATGTAACGCATTCTTTCCATAAAAAGTAACTAAGTAGTACAGCTAGTTACTTATTAGGGGAGTAACTCAATATTTTAATGCATTACTTTTAGAAGTAACCTTCCCCAGCACTGAATATGAAACGATCACCAGTGATCTAGGGACTGTAGATCACTAGTGATCATTACAGAACAGGACAGGACAAGGAAGCAACAAAAAACAACCGACATCGAGAGGGCAACACAAACTGAAATATAAATTCACAGTAATGATTGGCAATGAACGCAGCTGTGAGTGTCTCCGCCCTCCCCACATTTGTGTGTGTCCAAATGCCCATCAGCTGAAGCAGGGGAGATCGGTGCAAAGCATTCTGGTAGTGGTAGTTCTTTTGGTGTGTAAAGCTGCGTCTCAAATGGCACACTTGCACTCATGCACTATGTACTTGTGCACTTACACACTCAACAGCATAGTATATAGTATATGTATGTAGTGTTGTCTCAAATGGCACACTAATGTTTTTGGTAACACTTTATTTTGATGGTCCATTTGAGTATTAGTAGTCTGTCTGCTTAATATCTGTTGATACTGGTCCTTCAACAGACATTTAACTGACTATAAGAAACATAGCAAGTACATGTCAGCTTACACTAACCCAAACCCTTACCCCAACCTAACAGTCTACTTATAATCTAATGAGAATTAGTTAGCATGTAGATACAATGAAACTTAAATTCAACAAACGGACCATCAAAATAAAGTGTGACCATGTTTTTTTTTACTAAACGGAAATTCAAACCGTTTTCCTAAATCAGTTAAATAAATTTCCGGACTATCAAATAATAGCTGCCGTGAGTATAACCGCATTCACCATCTGACGGCGCTATAATCACTTTCGTGGGAGAATTTTGCTTTCACCATCCAAAATAAATAAAGTTATCCAACATGTGCGCCCGATAGCTCCGCCCCTTCCGCTACGTGAGCAAAGCTGCGGTCGTTGAGTGCGTGAACTGTCCATCATTACACACTTCATAATACCGGCTAAATGAGTGCATCATCCGGGTAATTAAAGTGCACTCATTACTTTTAGATTTTTCAGTGTGAACGTACTACTTACACTGTTTATACTACAAAATGGAGTAAAATAGTGCATAAGTATGTGATTTGGGACGCAGCTTGAGTGAGTATTCCCTAGATCGCTGTTGATCGTTACAGAATAACAATATGTTTGGCCTGTCTTAAAATGTTTCTTCTGTGTTTCAGATTTCAGTCTCTCCTTATTTCCATGTCGTTTTCTGTGAAAAATTCAAAGATCTAAGAGAAAAATGAGTCAGATGGTGAGTCAAATCAATTTTAGCTTCAACAGATTTTTGACCACATGGCAGTAGCCTAATTAAAAAGCACATTTTAGGATGTTTAAGATTAAAATGACTTTTATATAATGCCACTAATACAACAATATAGCAGTAAAAATAACAGTGCTCGAAAAATACGGATGTTTTCTAAAATAAAATTCGGTTTGAGGACTGAGCAAAGTCGTTCCAAATGAGTGCTATAAAACTAACAGCATGTTAGGTGTTGTAGTGTTTCTGGCCTTTCCGAATTAGTCAGACGTTAAATGTGCAGCAAAATGCCTTTTTAAGCTGGGATTCATTTAAAAGCCACATTCCTGCCAGGCTGTAAATTATTTCTGCAGTTCAGCACAGCCTTCTATAGATGCAGGTGGATCTAGTTAGCAGAGCAAAACGGTTCTGTATTGTAATAAAAGCTTAGATTCTTTATGTAATTTCACCTTTAAATTCAGTCGGCGGTCTGTATCTCTCGCCAAATGCATTACTTTATTTGCGCTTATGTGCCACATTTAATGCATACTGCTGAGTGTTTAAATTCACACAGTGATACATGATACGTTTGATAGTGTGAGGCGCTTGCTGGGTGATGTTTTTTTTTCCTCAGCCTGCATGCAGCTTGAATCTCTGAAACTATCAGTGATGGTCAGGATTGGTTAGTGAGGGTTCACTGAGATAAGACGAAAACAACTGCTCAGATTTCACAGGGGCCAATGCCGGATGCGTGAATCATAACTTGAGGAGACCGAGGACGGTTATAATACTGTTTTGTTTAAAATTTTCCACAGTTATCTGCTACAAACTAAAATGATCGTGAAACCATGTCAGGACAGGATATATATGTTTTAGTTTTGAGTTTAAGTCATAATTAATAGTCACTACAATATAATAAAATGTGAGATGTCCCAACCAACCCAGGCTAATCCTGATTACGTACCCCTTTACACATTTCTGGAAAGCACTAAATACATCCCAGGAGCAAAGGTTTTTTTTGCAGTTTTTGTTTTCACAAATCCACCAGAGGCCACTGTGTCAATTGCTCTTGGTCTTCTCACATAAATCCACCAGAGACCTCTGTCGACTGACCATACCTGCCAACATTCGGAACATTGGCTTGCATGGGGAATGAACCAAAAAGCTATGTGGACTGTACCAAAAAGCTGAGGAGTGGGGCGGCGGAGGGTTTAGGGGGGTGGAATTCAGGGAGTTTTCCTGGAGACAGAACAATACCGGAGAAGTAGATGGGTCTGAAATACGGGAGACTCCCGAGAAAAACAGGAGTGTTGGCAGGTATGCGACTGACTGACCAACCGACCAATACATCAACCCATGCCCCTCCCTAAACCCAACCGATAGTGTTTTCAAAATCACAGATTGACCAGCGCCGACCCACTTCCCTAAACCCAACTAATAGTGTTTTCAAAAGCAATCCAGTAAAAGAAAAGCCCTCAAGGCTGCCAGCTTTTTACCACATTTTCAGATTTTACCACATTCTCACCCTGTTATTTCCTTGTTTGTATTATTTTTGGCTTTTATTTTTATCTTACCTGCTTTCTGGAACCATTCTTCGCCGAACTTGAACCCCGTCATCACGGTCAATTCCGCTCTTCATCTCAAATCCTCCGACGTGTACGGTGAGCCACTGGACAAACTGGTAACAATGAGGTATAAGCGGTCAGCTGGTTAGCGTGAAAAGGAATGGCGTAGTGTTTGTTTTGAAGATGAAATGCAGCCATACGTTCCTCTGGCTACATACTTCGCTATTTTCAGAATGACCCTATGTTGGATCCAACAAAGCCTCATTGGAAATATGTGCCCAGTCATACGTTTTTGTAAACTGAGGTTTTGTTGAAAAATCCACTAGAGGGCGCTGTCTACATTTTTTTGCAAGTCTCTAAGGCCGTACTCACACTATGTACAGTTGCCTTAAACCGGGCAAAAGCACGCTTGTCCCCCTTCCATCTCCCCCAACGGTCCAAACTCACAATACATTCAGGCCTGGGCACGCTTACATCATTGCACAGTGGAGATTTCTCTAGTTATATCGTATAAGTCGTTTTAGGTGCGGTGACAGGCAGTCAAATATTTCACTGATCAGATCAGGCACTTATGGCGCTCATAAACAACCATAGAGTACTCGTGCTGCTGCTGCTGCAGGAATGAGGAGGTTTGCTGAAGGTGCGCAGCTGTGGTGCAGTGAGGGGTTTGCGTCTTTAATAAACTACGACAGTTTGCGTTCATTGAACAGTAAGAATGTTTAATTATTCCATATGAAACTCCCTTAAAAATCACGTCTCGCTTTCATTTTCAGGCTTAGGCGCGTTTTGCACTCACACACAAGCGTACTGCACCAAATCCCAAGTGAACCGCGCTCAGGCCCACCTCTTCCAACCGGGCCAGGGCCGGCCAAGTGAACCATGCCTGAGCCCTATTCAGTGCACTCACACTTCTTAAACAATCCAGGAAACGGGCCTGGCCACGGTTCGGATAGCATAGTGTAAGTACGCCCTAATAAGTTACTGGGCTACGCTTTCTCATACTGAAAATGTAAAGTCCTTCTGCATATATCATGTTGTTACAATATTCCAATACTAATGGAAAATAAAGAAATAAGTGATTTTAACCCAATCAGTTAAGTAGTTAAAACCTCATTGGCTGTTGTAAATTCACTGTTAACCACGGCTTTACAGGGCTTAATAATTTATATTTAATTTACTCTTCAGAATTACAGACTTACTTAACAACATAATATTAACATATCATTTAATGAGTTTCTTTATCTTAAAAAAAAACCTAAAAGATGGCTTAGTTAACCAAAACTATCCATTTTATAATAGATATAACACTGTATTGGGTCTGTTTTATTTGTTCTGGTATTTTGGCCTGGTTGTGTAAATGGTAAAATGTACTAAAATCTATTAATATCAAGGATTATGATCTCCTTTAAAAGTCTTGAATGGCTTCAAGTGTTAAAACTCAATGGCAGATACCACTGTTAAAGGTAACAAAATAAAGATGTGTGGAGTGATACATATATATTTATTGATTTGAATTACAATTTTGGATACAGTGCGTTTGAGGGTTGAACTTGGCTTCCAAAAACAATAATA